CTTCCTTTCTTTCGCTCGCCGCGAGCGCTTTTCGCATCTTTCTCCTCCTCGCCTCTGCTCCTTTTACCCCGTTGCTCCTTTCTCCTTCGTACATCAACTTATTTAACTTACTCGAGCACGCGTGCTTTTATTTTCGAGTGGCTGGGCCACCACCGCCATTCGTACAATCCAGCTTGAATCCCGTTTTCGAGAAGAGAAAGTTTCGACCACGCGGCGCAGGTTTACGAAGGCAAACACCAACGACAAGGTGTCTCCTCGAAAAAGAGCGAAAAACGGGAAAAAGGAAGAGAAAGGAGAGAAAACCCTTCGCCCCTCGCGTTATATATTCGTACCCGCGTTATCACGCGGCCAACGTATTTCTCGAGGCTGAAAGGGAGGCCGTATCGCGCCATATTTAACCGGCGTGTCGCCCCGTACGAAATTTTTCGTCAGCTTTACACGGCATAAATAATTCCGCGGTGGTAACGCGGAACCGCGCAAATTGGATAATTTATCAGCGGCGTTGGGTCGAATTCGCGGAATTAGCGAAGAATCGGCCGGGTACCACCGACGCTCGATATATCCAGGGAACAAAAATACGTTGGGGAGAAAAATTTCGAAATCGAGTAAACGAATCACGCGAGCAGTCCGGTCACGTTCCCCGAAATCTGACGAAATTTATAGAAAAATACGAGTGTATTTATCCGTGGTGCGCGACGTTAATTAGAACGTTGAGCCATACCGTTGCATAATTAATGTAAAATTATTAATTACCTCTGGCGCGCTTTACGCAACGTTACCTCCTACAATTACATCGAGCAAGGGATATCGCGGTCGTTGCAACTAAATCTCATTACGACATGTTGACGGGGCCAGAATCGAATAAACCGCCAAGCAACGCCGCCACGATAATGAGACTATGAAATCCATCTAAATTCCATGCATTTTCGGATCGTCGATCAGCACAGACAGGTGATTCTTCGCCGTGTCTGTCGCCGTGTAAGATGAGAGATCGAGAAAATCGTGAGACGACACCGGACACCGACCGTACTTTGTCCCTAGCAATGAGCTCGCATAAATTCTCGATTTAATATGAATGCGTAATGGCCGCCAGGAGGGCCCGTACTCGTCGTGCGGACGACGAGAGGAAGACGAGGGGCGCGAGGAAGAGAGAGAGGAAGACAGAGATTCGAGTGTAACACGGCGTACATAGAACCATATAGTAATATATGCGTTACCAGTTGTGTATAGAGTATTCGTGTACATCGTGTCACATTTTCACATCGGCAATTTTGTACTCCACCTAAAGCTGTCATGCTCAGATTTCTGGCACGTACCCCTTAGAAACCTAGGAATCCAAAGGTCGCTTTCATTCCGGGTATATCTATCCGACATATTTTCGAACGTACTCTCGCCTCGCTTTTCGTAATGATTAAATTATTATCCGCGGACAGAGACACGACGAGGAATTGATCCAGGAAATCTCTATAAGTCTCCGTCGATGGTGAGGATTATATAACTCTCGCGTCTGCATGATAATCGAAACGTATTTTAAGAACGAGGAAAAGTCGGGTCGTGTTACGCGAGTATTTTCCTCGACTCGTGCGAGGCAATTCTCGAAATCTAACCACGGAATAGAGCGAACGCTCTTAGGCTCGGGGAAATTAGGCTAAGGCTACCTCTGGCTGACTTTTCCCGTCATTTTCCTCTTCGAGAGCCTTCCCAAAGTCCTGCTTCTTCATGCGTGTCTAACGATTGCTCGCTCGATATAGAACCTCGCGAAACGGGGTCGTAACGACGCGAAAAACGCGTTGGACAAATACAGCACCTTCGCGTTCGACCGGCAATTGCCTAACGACGTACGCTAATTACCGCGAATGCGAACGGTAGCCGCGGATATGGGAGCCGCGATCGATACCGAAATCGGCAATGAAATTCATCGGCAACGAATCGAGCACGTAAAAAGCTCGACAATCTTTGGGGGATATCTCGGCAAGTTGCAGCGAAAATAGATTAAGTTTATAATTATCCATACATTATCGGGATCCGATGGATAATCGTTAAGCAACGTATGGCGCGGGAGTTGCGGCAAGAAACGGGGCGCGAAAAAGTCGGCGGGGGTGCGGAGGGAAATAGATCGGGAATAGAACGAAACGGGGGATGTTTCGGGGAAACGAATTCACCCGATGCACGTTAAAATTCGGACACTCGCGTTCGTTTTAACCGACGCAAACAGGTCCGGGGAACGCGTGCACGCGGCGGGTAAATTTCTATCGGGTTCGCGAGACGGGGATGGGAACGCGAGGGTAGCGAATCCGGTGGCGCGCAATTGAAAAACGCATTACACGTACGCGATGGAGGTGCACCGCGGGTATAAACCGCAATGCCAAAAACAGGGTGTGTTCTCGCGCGACGAAAATTAAGAGCGAAAACGCGGTTTTCGACGGGGAACGGTTACGGTGTAAAGGTAAAAAGAAACAGAGAAATTGGTCTCGCGCGGGGAAAACCGGTATAGGGAATTCGGGATGAAGGAAAACAGAGAGCGGAGACGATTTCGAAAGGGGTTTCAGGGGAGGCGCGATGCTGC